TCACCGGACCTGAAATGTTAACTCTGTTTTATCCTTCACAGATGCTGCCGGACCTGCTGAGCTTTTCCAGCAACTTTGTTTTTGTTCCTGATTTACAGCATCCGCAGTTATTTTGTGTCTTATCTTTTTGATATTTTGACTATAGTTAACTAATTGCTTCAGGAGATAAATGACTAGGTAGTCTTATGCATCACTTGTGCAGGGACTAGAACCTATGGACTAAATGGCCTTTGTGACTGTCAACAAGTAACTGGGTCACTATTGTCCTTTGAGGAAAGAAACCCACTGTCTGTCCTTGGTTTGGCTAATTATATGATGCCAGTTGCTAGAGCATGGGTGACTCATTATCCCTGGATGTCCTGAAGGCATTGACAATAAAAACTCCCTTGCCAGTTTGCTCACATCAAGGATGAGAGAAATAAATGCTCAACTTATAAATAGTTCCCACAAATTCCTAAGGTGTCTTCATGAAACAAAACTACTTGAAATACTAAAGGTGTAAATTCACATCTGAATCTGCAAATCAGAGGTTACCACAAACCAGACATTGTGTAGAGGTAACAATTTGTGGAAAATAATCATTTGTGATATCTGGTATCAAAAAAATCTAAACAAAAGAAAAACATGAGAAGTACCAAAGGCAACAAAAGACTTAATGAGACATTAATATTCACATGCATGATTTTCAATTTTCTTACAGGAACATCAATAATTGCCACAATATGTGATATATCAGTGTTCCATTATTTTCATTTTGCAGATACTAAGACTTCTGATTCAAATCAATCTTTTAATTGTCATGCAATTAAAATTGCAAAAAAAAAGAGTTATTAAATTCCAAACACCCTGTCATGCTGATGGTACTGTACAACTTTAACACTGAAAACATAAGTATCAACATTCCTATTGTCAAAGCTGTTATGCAAACTGTTGCTGTGGGGCCAAAGATAGGTCTCTAAACTGTACAGCTTGACCAAGACACATTTATAAGACAATTAGCTCTTTGCAGCGACTGTACTCAAACACTGGAATGCTCCAGATTCTGCAGTGCTCGAAATTATTTTCAATTGCTTTATTTTAAATTTTGTAATGATTATGACATAAAAGTAACACTCTCAATTTGACCAATATCGACTCAATTATCAAAGGGGGAATAACTTAATTTCATGTTTTTTCTCAGAATTCTATTTACATACAATCCAGTACCTCAAACTTGCCTTGAAAACTCCTTACTTATCAAGTTTAGAACATCGACAAAAATTTTATATCCCTTGAATCCTGTCAACAGTTAAGTGAAAAATACAGATTAGCAGAAATAATAAATCTGAATTTTTAATTATTTTTATATTTTGGAAGTAAATATGTTATTAGATAATATGTAGATATCAGATTGTAGTATGTTGCTGACCTCTCCCTGTGGAGTTATAAAGAGCATGTGTGTTTCACTTTTGAAAATCTCATGGCTATTGGTTGTACGGAAAAGGGTGTTCACCTACATATCACCGTGCAACGATAAATGTCACCTTTCTTTGCATAACAAATTACAACTAAATTCCCATTTATATCATTTATCTTGATGGCACTAAGTAGGTTTTTTTTGAGACTGATTTTATAGGACTTAAATTGTTACTAGGAAGCACAAATTGGATCTCTCACAAAGCCCAACTTATGATAGATGTACGTGACCGGACTGCAAAGGAAGATCACACAGCTCTGCTATGCAGAACAAATAACCTTGTCAAAATATTTGCAGCAATTCTGATTTTACCAGGCAAATGAAATACCATAAAATGACAGCAAGAATTGGTTTTGAATACTTTCATTACCTCCAGAGATCCTTTGGCAGAATAAGCTGCATAGAAATAAAGAAGGTCATGCTTTTCCTTCTTGCCATGTGGGGCTGAGGGTAAAGTACTGCATTGTTGTCCATTGGGATGAAAGCACTGGCTGCTATTTGTCAGAATGATTTTGTTTTGGTCTGCATCAGGCAAGCTGAGAAGAACTGTATAATTGACTAAGCAGATTTCTGTTAAACCAGATGCAGTCCACTGCTCCATAATACGTGCTGCAGAACTCCCCTGGTCTGACTCAGCAGCAAACTGTGTAAAATTCCTAAACAAGAGAAACAGAATAATTACTTTCAATACTGGCCACATTTCTCACAATTACATGGAAAAATGTGTTTACTGATAGAAAGACTCGCGCAAAAAATGCATCAAATAAAAGTTGCTATGTATTTACTGGCAAAGCTTTCTATTTTATGTTGTGAATGCCAAAAGTGTTCATTTTAAATTTCATTTGTTGAGTTTCTGTGACATTGCATGGGAGAGGAGAAAGCAACATTACAATTTCAAACATGCAGCATTTGAGTGGATGGAAATATTGGATAGGGTGTGGTGAAGGAAGGACAATGGTGAAGACAAGTATAGATACAAAAAGAGAAATGAGTAACATTGAGGAATAGGGTAAAGGAGAAGTGGTGGAAGGGGGATAAGAGAGGACTATGATAGGTCAGAGGAAATTGGAGACTAGAGGTTAGAGAAGACAGATAGAGTCAGAAACAGAAGAGAGGGGAGGATGGAGAAAAGAACCAACATGGACAACAGGAGGGAATAAGCATTGGTTGGAAAACAGCCATGGAGCAAGAGATGTTTCAGTGTGAGAGGTGCAAGACAATAAACTACTCATGGGTGGGGGGTGCATTCAGCAAGCAAAGAACCTGGTTGTGAGTTCATAAAATGTAAAAACTCTCATCATAATCAGGATTCAGCGGAGAATAAGGAAAGGCAAAAGGATAAGATCAAAGTCACTTAAGCAAGAATTTTGCATTATACTCTCTCAAAATGAAAAGGGATTAGATCAATCTTTGACATTACAAATTCAATTAATGGCTTGATGTTACCACCAATGAAAATATAAAAAAAAGTAGGGTTGGCAGTTAGGATGTAGTTGGGTCAATACAGTGTGGAGCTGGAGGAACAGAGCAGGTCAGGCAGCATCAGAGGAGCAGGAAAGCTGATGCTTCGGGTTGGGATCCTTCTTCAGGAGTCCTGACCCGAGATATCGACTTTCCTGTTCCTCTGATGCTGCCTGACCTGCTGTGTCCCTCCAGCTCCACCCTGTATTGACTCTGACTCCAGCATCTGCAGTTCTTGCTATCTCTGAGGATATAGTTAGGTATTGAAATGGCACAAGGATGAGGTAATGGCTCAGGAAAACATGTATGTTTATTAAGGTTTAACTTCATTATTAAAAATCCATAAATATTGGATAATATTGTATAAAATTCACACCCAACTTATGATGCTGCTTGACCTGCTGTGTTCATCCAGCCCTGCACCTTGTTGTCAATGATTTTTTATTGTCTACTTTATGACTGTTGCAAACAGATGGCTAGAAAACTACTTGATGATCAGGGTGCAGAGTGGTTTCAGACACATGTCACAATTGACATCAAATATTGGACAACATTTACATTGCGAGAGCCTGTCACACAATAACCTACATGCAAAAAGATAATATAAAAATGTCAATATTTATCGAATGAATTTCTCCATACAGACAAGGGTTTTCGATACAATTTGTAATTCAATATGGTTTCCCATCCATGGATTTTTTATAACATATTTTACATTTTATAAGTAAAGGTCAGGTTTCTGAAATAGCCAACTTGCTGATCAATAGAATCTACCTTCAAATCTGGATGCACTTATAGCAAAAAGCTACACTGCGGGGCACAGGACTGTTGTGGCACAGCGATACTGCCCCGGCCTCAAAAGCCAGAAGACCGAGGATCAAGTCCTACTTGCTCTAGAGGTGTATCACAACATCTCTAAACAGGTTACTTTTAAAAAAGCACTGCAGGACTGTTCTTTCATAAAGATGATTCATTGGAACTACTAGGTAAGATTTTAGCCCACTCAAATCAGAACCATTTGTCAGCAATTAAAATCAGGGTCATTGTGGTAATTGACAAACATCAAGAAAATTCAGAAGACAGCTCACGTTGCCTTGTGAAGACCATCATTTTGTGTCGAATAGCGCAAAGTACTAAGCATAGCCATCACATTGCAGATAGCTAATCATTACGTATGTGCCAGGAGTCAGTCAGATCAGTTGGCTGAATGGCTCATTTGCAGTACAATGATGCCAATAGCATGGGTTCAATTTCTGCACCAGCTGAAGTTACCATGAAAGACTCTCCTTCTCAACCTCTTCCTTTTGTGTGAGGTATCATGACCCTCAAGTTAAGCAATCACCAGTCATCTCTAATGAGAGAGCAACACTATGGTGTGGTAGGACAATGGTGACTTCACCTTTACATCTGCCAAATGGAACAATTTCAAAAATCACTAATAGAAGAATTGTGAGTTTTGCTGAATATTTTTCCAAGTTTCTTTTATGTTACTTTTAATTTCAATTCCTGTTGTAGTCTGGAAATGTACCCAAAAAAATTAAGTGATATTGCAATAGCTCTAAATGTTAATACTGATTTGTTATTGGTTTGCTGAAGGGTGACTTAAAGAACTGAATAACCAGATTTTAACAGTACAAACCCAGAGTGAAAAGTAAGCTTTTCTTTCTATTATATCTGTCAAACAAATCTCGGATTACCATCTTGTGAAATACTGACTGTAATATCTGTTAAAATGCTTCTCTGTCACAGGATTCAATTTGACTAATGCAGACCAAACTATGGCTGTGCTTCCCATGCTGTACACTGAATTAACAGAACGTTGTGAGCAGTTTTGCGCAAAAGGATCAACAATCTCAAACATCTCTTCTTGTTTACTCTCAATTCTTTCCACTATCACCATTTTCAGGTTGTTACCACCTGGGAGTAGCATGATGGCTGCTGTGACTGCAACAGCAGGATCACAATTAAGGGTCAGACATCATGAGAAGTGGATCCCAGGAAGGCGGAACAGTCATAATGGGTAAGGCTTCAGTGTTTCCAAAGATGTAAGTCACTGAGACAAAGAGAACTAAGTCTATAAATAAATATCTGGTGGTAAAGGACTTAAACATTGCTGAAATCTTTTCATCTTGTACACATCAGGATGCAAAAAAAACGAGACTTGAAAACTAAAACAAATACTGTCTTATACAGGATGATAACACGGTGTTGACAGGTTAGGCTATAATTGACAGGAAGATACAGTAAGAACAGTTAACTGTCAATCTTGATGTTCATACAAGGCACGTAGACTGTGATCGGTCAGGGTATTACCATGGGATGCAACAGAGTTTGGCTGTCTCCATGATCCCTCGCTTTTTGAAAAAGGTGCAATGTATCTGCACCATTAGATGTAATTCTGCTTTTCGAAGTTATTTATTAAATAATCCAACTGTGTATAGCATTACACCAGGGTTTATATTGTTGGACTAACCTTGTGGTGTAACATATACTGTTTCTGGGTTTAACTCTGGGATCTTTACTGCAGCTTACTACAGGTTCCATGCTCTGGTCACCACTTGTCACTATTTAGAAAGGTGTAGTCCACATTCTCATGAATGAACTTTAACAAACTAAAATCTAAGAGTGTGCAGGTAAGGTGGATTGGCCATGATAAATTGCTCATAGTATCTAGGGATGTGCAGGCTAAGGGGGTTAGCCATGGGAAGTATGGGGTTACAGCGACCGGGTAGGGGGTGGGTCTGGGTGGGATGCTCTTCGGAGGGTCAGTGTGGTCTCAATGGGCCAAATGGCCTGCTTCTACACTGTAGGGGTTCTATGATTATTAACGTAACCATTTACAAGACATGTTGAAGATGTCATATTTCTGCAACCTTACAGCACTCGATTCCAACCGGTCTGGCATCACTATGACAAAACTCCATTTGGACATTCTCAGTAGCCAGTCTCTAAGTAAGGATATTTCAATCCTGACTCTAGATGGTCTACAAAGTCATGCAGGTTGAATTTAGGAACCACGATGTCTTTTTTTAATGTTTACCATAACCAGGAAGAATGTTTCCAAAATGAAGAAAAACAAATAAATCCCAGTTTCAGAGAAACAAACTGAATTGTGAAACATGATAGAAAACATTAAAAACATCATAAAAGCATTCAGAAAATCACAAATCCAATGTAATAAAAATGAATTTAACTTCGTTGTCTTGAAGTAATGGCCTTGGTCATAGGCTTTTCTTGATGCTTTGATAACATGCATTTTTTTTTGAGTTCCAGGTTTTTTTTTGGATTTGTGTCAGCTTCTTTGAAGGTGTTTGGGCTTTTCTCAATTTAGAAGGCTGGTGTTAATGGGCTGGTAGGCCCGATGCTTCTGAATTAATCATACAAAGGAATGCAGTGGGGACAACATTGGGAAAGATCTGTATGGTCCACCCTGTGATGCAGTAATCAAGTGAACTGTGCAGCAGTCTTTGCTTGAACTAAGCAAAGCATAATTTCCAGATATCAGGAGAGTTGTATCCTTTAAAACAAAACTATGCAGGCAAAACGAAATGTCCAAATCAGAAAATAACTTTAACTCTTAAACACAGGTAATCTGATTGAAAGAAAAGATTCAAAGTCTTGAAGCCATAAATTTGCTTTGTGAGAAGTAATGGTCAATTTTCAAGTTTAATCAGCTTTTATTATCCTGCATTAGAACCCAAAGGGAACAAGTCATTTACAAGACCTGCTAACACAATTACTTCTAATAAATAAAGCTAAGAAATTTAATTTTCATATACCGATTTATCCACAAATGGACATAGTACTGTGAGGCAACAAAATATCTAGTGAACAGTTTCTGTCAACAATTTTTGTGTACTGTGCAACACCACTAAAATGAAATTATACTACATAGAACATTCAAACTGATGTATTCAGAACCTTGAATGGGAATTCTATGCCTACGCGACAGAAGGAACACCACTGTTAGTGGTCATTGGAAAATTACTTTGGCTCTTAAGTAATTGAAGACTTTCAAATCACAGTCTGGGAGAGAAGGGTGGCTGGATTAACATTCACAGAGCAAAGGTAATCTGTCACCGAAGGCCATTGAAGGAGAAAAAAAGGGAAAGCCAATGAAAAGCTAAATGTTTCAGAAAATCAAATATGTGTCTCAGATAATTGATTAATGAAATGTAACAGCTATTGTAACAAG